CCTTGCTCCTGGCATTCTGGTTGCCTCTTATGACACGCATGGCTTACAGAGGAAGAATTCTTTTTCACTTCTCCATGGAAATATGCTAATTTAATTTTGCATATGACAACTGGACACTAAAATCAGATGAGAGGATATCAAACATTATCAAATTAAACTTGTGCAAGTCTCACTATGGTAAATTAATAAAACAACATGACATTTTATAGTGTCTCACTTGTTGAGTGGCTCCCAGGTGTTCATGACTCGCAAGTCACGATTGTCACGTAACTCCTCCCAGTTGGTCTTGTCGGTTGCTGGGTCAATGTCCATTTGTTGCAGTGCTTCAACCAACTGACTGTGAGAACTTATCTGACAAAAAAAATTGTTGTTTTTACTATATTTTGACAATAACACTGTCTAGTAAGTGCTATTGTCAATATTTTCTTTATTATAGTTATATAAGCTATGCTGTTATTAAATATTACCATCATTAAGATTTCTATCTCACTAATATTTTCATTCATATCTTACTTCTAATAAGATTTAAGAGTCAACATAGTGTATTTTTTTTAACTCATCATACATCTTCCAACAAGGTCGACTGACCCATAAAAATGAAACACTTTTATCATTGTTCATGTTAAATGCTGTCATGCCAAAAGTGTGCTGACATCACAATTTAGATGACCCTGCAAGTTGTAACATCCTCATCTCTCCTTCAGAGTGCAGGCACTGCCCTTCCCACCTCTAGGATTAAAGTCTGGCAAACTGATTTCCCTGAATACCTTCATACCTTGCTCACACTCCAACATTACATTCATTAAAAACCATTTCTCTACACACAGTGATCTAACATCCTAATATGAGCCTGCTGGATGCTCAAACCCTTAACACTCAAAGCCTCCTTTACCCCCTCCTTCAACCATTCCTGAAATGACCCCCTACCCCTTTTACCTTTCACCCTAGATTTATTATTATACTCAAGGGGGAAGTGCTAAACCCATAGGTTTACACAGCACCTGTGGGGGGAATGTGGAAGGTATTCAAGTTTAATTCAGGGAACTGGGGCACAGATCCAATTCCCTAAAATCAAGAGCCCCTCACTAGTTTCAAGGAGCCTTCCTTGAGGGGACCATGGATTTATACACCCTCTTCATGATCCTATCCCTCAACATCCCTAAACCATCTTAGTATAAATGGCAGGTAGGCATCAAAAACAGTGCTAAATGTATTAAGTGATTTGACAGAAGGTGGCATTTAAGCATCCAAAACAGAGCCAGATGTATTGATTATTCTAAAGAAGATTGATTCTTAAGTAATAAGTGTCAGGTAGGCATCCACAACAGAAATAAATATGTTACAAGATTTATATAATCACTGGTAAAATTATCAACAAAATAACAAAAAAAGGCACAATACCGTGACTGGAACGATACACAAATAACCCGCACATAAAAGAGAGAAGCTTACGACGACGTTTCAGTCCGACTTGGACCATTTACAAAGTCACACTTTGTAAATGGTCCAAGTCGGACAAAAACGTCGTCGTATGCTTCTCTCTTTTATGAGCGGATTATTTGTTTATCAACAAAATGTTAGGCAAATAAACCCAAAAACTACCAAAGGGATTTATTATAGCCAAGTTTCACTCACCAGGAGTTATGTCCTTGTATCATTTGTATTGCTTGACAGTGCCACTGGCAAGGAAAATATGGCTGTAATGTCTGTAGTTGCTCGTATCAGGTTTACCTAACATTTTGTGATTTGATAAAAAAAATAATATGATTCTTTGGTTGCAAATGGTATTTACGCATCCAAAGCAGAGCTAGATACATTAAGTGATTCTAGAGTTGCAGGCAATAGGAAGGCATCCAAAACAGAGCAAGAAAACATTAAGTGATGGGACAGTATGTTGATTGCAGTTTTAAGTGAGACGTAGGCATGTACTATAGCACTAGATGCATTAAGTAAAACCTTAACTATAGTAGTACTCACTTCCAGAGTTAGCTCCATCAGCATCTGCTCAGCGGTCACTGTGGCAAAATGGAGGGAATTATTTAATCTTTCTCTGAATTCCACAAACTCAGGAATTCTAGTCAGTGATCCATATTTATATGAAGATATTAGTGGATCTGAGGTCTGAAAATAAAGTAAAAAAAAAAAAAATTTAGAAAAACTGAAAGGAATAAGATCCAGCATTTTTTGTTTTAATTATATGAAACATTACACAATTTAATTATATACAACATTACATAATTTCAGTAATAGGGAATCTTTCTTATTCAGAAAAATGCATTTGGGGAGGATAGGGGTCTGAATGATTAAAAAACTGAAAGCAGTGCAAAAAATTCAAGAAGATACACCTCTCTCCTATTTTAACAAAGAACCTACAAATAAGATTTTCCAAATCAAAATTCAGATACTTTCAGATACTCTACTAACATGTATGTATGTATATACAGTGGTACCTTGAATTTCGAACAGCTCCCAACTCGAACAATTATGCAAGTGTATTTCTGTAAGTGCTTTTGAAAGTGTATTTTTGGGGGTCTGAAATGGACTAATCTAATTTACATTATTCCTCATGGGAACAAATTTGTTCGGTAACAGCACTTGAACAGCCTTCTGGAACGAATTTCGGCCGGTACTCGAGGTACCATTGTACTGTATAAACTCAATAGCACTAAGTGAATATATGCACTGTACTATGTAGCTTTTGACCACAGCAACAAAGGTTATCATTTAAAAAATGAATTTTATATACAAGTACAATTTGAGCTCACATCTTTGTAGTTGGCCATGAAGAACTTGAGCGTAGAGGAGAAGATTTCTGCAGCAACTGTATAGTTGGCAGAGTCGAGGGCCTGCAGAGCTAGAATGTGACCCAGAGTGTCCAACTGGATGTGTTTTAAATCGCATTTTTCATAAACTGTTTGAGAGGCGTCTGTGGCACCTAGAGAACAAATTGGAAACATATTCGTTATTAAACTAAATTCAGAGGAGAAATTTTAGAAAAAGTTTTGGTCCATTCTGGACTATAATAAGTTACAGTAGACACACATAATGAAGAAAGACAGCAGAGAGAGATTAGGTGAAGAAGTGAGAAGAAACCCAGAAGACAAGTCAGTGAAGAGGTGAGGAGGAAAGCCAGAAGACAAGTTGGTGAAGAGGTAACGAGCAAAATAAGACAAGTCTCCATCTGGAAAAGACCCATGTTGGGAATGACTTCCTGATGAATCAACTGGACTGGGTCAGAAGGAAACCAGAAGACTGTCAGGTGAAGAGGGGAGAAGAAAGGCAGAAGACAGTCAGGTGAAGAGGTGAAAGGAGAATAGAGATTCAGAGAAACTGTTTAGGTAGACTGGAGTCCTATAGATGGGGAAAGCATTCTGAAGGAAGGATTGGGATGTTGGAGTTAGAATGTGCTGTCTTCTTTGGGTTACCCTGCTGTAGTGGGAGACAGCCACTGCGTTTAACCCTTTCATTCTCAGTCCCGTAATATTACGGCTTGCAAGCCAGTGTCAGTCCTGTAATAGTACACCAAAATTGTAGTGGCTTCAAATCTTGTGGGAGAAAGTAAGTAGGCCTACATATGAGAGAATGGGTCTGAGTGGTCAGTGTGTGCAGTATAAAAAAAAATCCTGCAGCATGCAGTACATGAGAAAAAAAAAAACTCTGACCGTGTTTTTAGTTTAAAACAGCGACTTTGCAGAGCATTTTCATATGATATTTATGGTTGCATTCTCGGTTTCTTGGTCTCATTTGATAGAGTGGAAGACATATTACAGAACTAAAGATGATTTTGAATGGTTTATGGACTAAAAGTAGCAGAAATGTTTGAATTTTGCCAATGTTCAAGATTAAACAAATCATGTCATGCATCCAATACATGTCAACTGGTGGATCTAACATGCTTTCACAAATGCACTAATATTATTTATACCATTTTTACAATAATGCAGTAGCCTGCATAACAGTAAATCTTCTATTTTTTTGTGTGAATAAAAATTCAAAATGGAAAACAAGCAGGACTAATGAAGAGAGAAAATGTTATTTTAGTGCTAGGAATGTTTGCATTGTTAATTCTGGACCCTATTTTGAAATTGGCCTTCCTTGAATTGTGTATGAAATTGGCTAAATTACCAATTTCTGATCACTTTATTGGGTAGTTGGAATCGGTAAATGGGCGGTTTCTTGTACTCAAATGATAGAACAAAAGAAGTTCTAGGAAAAGAGCTGCGAGTTTGGTCAACTGGAACAATGGAATTGGTCAAAAATAGGGCTCAAAGTGGGCAAAATCGCAGAAGCTTTCCATCAAATTTCGTGCTTTTGGTGTCATTACCATTGGGGAAAGATTATCTATCATTTCATAAGAAAAAAAATATATATATTTTTTTAAATTCTTCAACAGTGAGAACAAGTTTGGGAGCAGGAGTCTCAACAGTGAAAGGAATAAAAAAAAAAAATAATGATTTTTTAAGACACTGGCCGTCTCCCACTGACACAGGGTGACTGGAAAAAGAAAAAACATAGGTTTTTCTTCTTTTTACATCTAGTAATTTATACTGGAGAAGGGGTTACTAGCCCCTTGCTCATGGCATTTTAGTCGCCTCTTACAACATGCATGGTTTATGAAGGAAGGATTCTTCTCCACTTTCCCATAAAGAATGATAATACAGTAATATCAATATTAAAAATAATAATGTTGAAATAAAAGACTGAATATCAGACTGGAGGGAGGTATCATGGAAGAGGTAAATGCATTCAGATATTTGGGTGTGGATATGTTGACAGGTGGATATATGAAAGATGAGGTAAACCATTGAACTGATGAAGAAAAAAGGTGTGAGATGAAGAATTACAGTATTTATAAAGATTTGAACAATCAACTAAAACTAAACAATAGCAGGGGAAACCTTTTTATCTAGAGAGGAAGCAAGTTTAATGAAGTAAAAAGATAAGTTCAACTTAATACACATACAAGGGGCACAACAATCTGCATTATCACTTACCAAGCATATTATATACTTTAATAAGTAGCAATTTTAACTGGAAGTTGGCTTTAGAAATGTCTATGCCATGCTCCAAGATGGTAGCAACTTTTAGGATCAAGTGTCTGGGGTCGATGTCGCTGTTTGTTCCATCGCACTTTGACACTGCCTTAAGGTAACTGTGTGTTGCCAGGATTAAATATGCATCACCTGGTCTACAGAAAAAAATAGAAATAATTTAATTTGTTACTATTCATAGGAGTGATATATTTTGCCAAAACTCAAATGTTTAATTTTACACCTAGGAGAATATCTATGCGAGAAAGGATATGGTCGTACAGGAATATGTACAGTATATCACTAACATTTACAATACCAGAAATCTTAATCAACAAATAAAATGTTTAGTGAGCCCAACAAAAAATAAAAGTTTATGTTCAATCAATTATTGTCATTCACGAAACTCTAAAGTGTATTTTAAATATATGAAAGACGAGTAATCACCAAAAATTGAAACCTTTCTTATTAGAAGATTTTCTTACTAGTAAGTCTCATTTATTTATTATGAACATTATTGCCTCTGAGATAAGGTGCAACTTTATGACATCAATTTGTCATATTTTTCAAGAATACCTATTTAATTTCATAATTAACAAAAAAAGGCATGAACATTCACTACTTTTCTTATCATGCATCCTCTGTTAAGAAAAGTGTTCTTATCTCCCTGTTTCTCCGTGCTCTCCGCATTTGTGATCCTCAGTTCCTTGAATCAGAAATTTGCACTCTTCATAATTCATTTTCCCGTCTTGGCTACCCTTCCCATTTCATAGACTATGCCTTCTCACATGCTAAATGGACTTTCTTCTCTCCCAAACTCTCTACTCCTGGGAACTCTCCTGTCCTCTGCCTTCCTTACACTTCCAGTCTTTCTAATCTCAACAACTCTCTCTGTTCCTTAGACATCAAACTTACTCTTCACAAGACTAACACTCTTCACACTAATCTAGTTCATACCTCTCCTCCCTCTATAGATGCTCCTGGAGTCTACTTGTTCCTCCTGTCCTCTGTAGTACTTTGGAGAAACTGGCCGATCTCTTTCTGACAGATTTAGGAAGCACAAAAGTAGTGTTGGGCTTGCTGACACCAACAATGCTCTTTTCTGTCATGTCAGAGATCACAGTCATCCTATTGACTGGTCTTCTGCTAAAACTGTCTACCCTACTTCCAACTTTCACAGTCGCCGTCTGGTTGAATCCTCCCTTATACACAACTTTCCTTGTATGAATCTTAGTGTGGCTTTGTCTCTGTAGATGCCTTCCTTTCCCACTACATTGTAAAATGCTCCAAACATCAGAACACCCATGACTTAACCTGATTTTTTTTTCCCTCTTCCCCGTTCCTCTTTCTCCTTTGGGTTTTCTTTCTTCTGCCTTGGGTATTTATCCTTTATTATTATTATTCCCCTCCCCTCTGTGTTCTTGCTCCTACTCTCTGTGGGCTCCTAGCTCCCTTGCAGTGCTCCTCTTTCTTTGACTCCACTATTACTACTACTCCTACCTCCACTATTACCTCTCTTGTCCTGTCCCTGTCTGCTGGCCTATATATACTCCCTCCTTCTTTCCTTTTTGTTAGTGTGACTTTGTAAATGGTCCAAGTAGGACCGAAACATCGTCGTAAGCTCCTCATTTCTATGTGCGGGTTATTTGTGTAATTTCATAATTTATGTTGATTAATATAGACTAATGCACACAGCTTTCATGAAAGAGGATATATTATGTATTCCAACACAAATAAAAAACTAATTCACGGCAGTCAGTAACATGCTGTCACATTTACTCATTATAGAAATATGGCCTTGAAAACACTGAGCTCAACTGTGAGGCAAAATTTTCAAAGCTAAACTAGCCAAAGGATTATTCTGGAAATAAAACAAATCAATTTAGCATACCTCAACTTTCTTATAAAAAGTCAACAATAATAATGTGATTCAAGAGATATTTAAAAAATAAAACCTTTTTAAGAGCTGGGTTCACATGTTAGGTGAAAATGTGTTTTAAATAATTATGAGGTAAGGCCCTAGGGATTCACTTGGAGCATGTCATACATTCATTCACAATTACTCGTGTCTTTTGGTTCCAGTAAGGCCTATCATGTACTTGCACTCACTATAGGTTTCCGTTTCCTCTGTATGCATGTCACTGACTTATTTGTTGTGGTGGCCTGAGCCATGTGGACATCCCTACTTTGCTTGGAGCTCCAGTTGTCATCCTCATGCTGTAGTGCCAACACCAACTTACACTTTCTTTGGTTAGTTCTTTCTCTGCCAGCACTTTTTTTCCTTATGCCCCTGAAAGACTAGTGTCTGCCTCTACAATTTTTAACAGGACAGTCCTTTTTGCTCTTCTAGTATTTCTGTGGTGGCTGGTTATCTGCTATGCTTGACCCACAGACTTTATGATCACTCTTGTGTACTGGTTGACAACTGCGCTCAGAGTGAAGTAGGGGTATCCAGGATGAGCTGGCCCCCACAAAAAATCAGTAACGAAAGGAGTGAATAAATAGTGTTAACGAGTTTAAGACATAATTTAAATGGGCCTCCAGGACCCTTAACCAAATGTCTGCTTATTCAAGCACAGCTCAGCCTCCTTCATAACAAATAACCAAGCAGTCACTATATTTCTATATGACAGTTTTTAGACTTAGATAAAACTGGATACAGATGCTACAACTGGAAACTTCAATAAATTACATGAAAATTAAACATACAAGATGAGACACTATGTGGATAACTTTTCTCCTGTAACTGCACTTTAGTCTGTTTTGGATGATAAATACAGCATTAAATGATTTTACCAATTTTTGATAACCTGCTGTGTATATAGATACAAGAGCAAGCTATGGTAATAGTAGTGGTGTCCTGTCATCTGCATTTATTATAAGTATTTTTAAAGTTCCCAATGGCTTCAACACTTACTATCTTCTTTTGTAATGTAATACACTTTTCTACCTTTTTATTAATGAAGAACATTCTCAAATCCTTTTGTTATCTCTTAATCTCTCAATAAATATTTGTCACTACTTGTTCTACTTATTAATGGTGGTAGTAAATCTTCTTATCAATACTGTCACATATTTTGTAATCTTTTGTGAGGTTATTGTGCCTCCTCTTTTCCTCCACCCAATCAGTGAGGGTATATCAAATGCTTTCAGCTTTTTTTTTTTTAAAACTTGTAATTTTTTTTTAGCTGAGAAAGCCATTTTGCAGTTTTTTTTTTTTTTACTTTTTTTTATCTTATCTAATTTTTTTTTAAAGTACGTACAACACATTCCTGCCATATATAGAATGGTACCTCAGGATACGAACAGCTCAAAACGTGAACAATTACATAAGTGTATTTATGTCAGTGCTTTTGTAAGTGTATCTTTGGGGGTCTGAAACAGATTAATCTAATTTACACTATTCCTTATGGGAACAAATTTGTTCGGTATCAGCACTCGAACAGCCTTCTAAAACGAAATAAGTTCATATCCCGAGGTACCACTGTATCTCTCTTGGTCTGATGTGAGTTTGCACAGTGTGCTTCTCTATAGGTAAACTAAATTAAATACCTACCTGCAGTGCAGTATGACCCTTATGGGTTTAGTGCTCAAGTTGATTATATATATTCAACACGTTTAGTAAAATATTGTCCAATACAAACTTACTTAGTAACTTGTTGCACTCAAAAATTTTAAATGATTGGTCACCTGGCCCACAACTTCCAGACAACTGATTCAGAATTATAACAGTGATGCACAAATTGCTAATAGCAACAAGTTTTCACTGACCTGATATCTGTGTCAGCCATGTGTGAGGAGAGGTGTAACGTTTCTTTATATAAATTTACAAGTGTATCCGAGAACTCCATATGCTGTTGCGGAGTTAGAGTTTCCTGCTCTCCTAAGGCTCTTCTAAGGTGCGACCAACATAGATTGCGATAGATAGCTTCAACCTGTTAAAGAAAAATAATATGGTAAGGAAAGTGCTCATAATAAAGATATATTCTAAAACTGAATTGCATTACAGTAAGATCTCACATAAGGATGCAGCTGTGTTCCTGAAATTGGTGCTTTATGTAAAATTTCACTATGTCATATATATAAAATATATACTTGAAAAAACAGGGCTATGTACACAACACCTCCAACAAAGCCATAATTTTTAAGTGTTTATTTCATTAAAAATAATAGTTCTTGATACTTTACACTGCAAATGTGGTTACTTGCTAACCTAACACCACCATCTATCATTACCTACCAGCACTATCACCACTGAACAACACCCTCCATTGTCACTTACGGCCTACCAGCCCCATTACCTATGATCACATACCAGCACTATCATCGCCTAACACCTTCAACCATCACCCAGTATATGCTTACCGTGAAGAGGGGAATTTTCCACATGGGATCCAGCCTGGTTTTAATTTTTTATTCCACTTTACAGCATAGAGGAGGAATTTTATGAGTGAGAACCAACACAGATTCAATTTTTTCCCACAGACTGAAGCCACATTCTAATAAAAATGCTCCACCTAAAATTATGTTATGCAAGGTCTGTCTGCAAAACTGTACAAAATTCTTTCTTTTATTACTGTATTTAGTTTTCTAAATACACATTTGCTGCATAAAAAATTATACTTTTCTACACTCTTGCTACTCCTTAGCATACAATTCAAACACTGAAAATTTACAGCATATTAAAGTGATTATCATTCAAAGGGATTGACACACATTAAAATAGATCATTCTCACTTCTGTGTATGGTATATTTTTCATATTAGGCCACAGCAAAGGCAAATGTGTCTACTTGCTAATGCTTAGCAAACTGAAAATTATTTATAGAATATCAGGCATTGTCAAGAAGATGACTCTCAAGGTGACTCTTGAAGAACTGAAGATCAAAGCTGCCAAGGGAAAAAAATTGATTTCATTCTACACAATGGCTATAAAATGAAAAAAATGACAAGACTTACATCTAGTCTTGAATTAATAACAAGACTGAGAAGAGACTGTTGTGCTAGTACAGTATTAATGACAGACTATACACAAATAACCCGTACATAGGAGAGAGGAACTGACAACGACATTTTGGTCCAAAGTGGACCATTAACAAAGTCACATTTTGTAAATGGTCCAAGCTGGACTGAAATGTCATTGTAAACTACCCTCTCTCCTATGTGCAGGTTATTTGTGTATTATTCCAGTCATGATATTGTGCCTTTTTGTTCTTTAATGATAGAGTATCATCTGGTCTTGAATTAATAATAGAGACAGAGAAGAGACTGCTGCAGTAGTACAGCATTACATAAGTGCACAAGAGGAGGAAGAGGAGAAAAACGAGATGCAACTTTGTTGCTGAAACCCAATGATTCAAGATTTGATGTGAAGTCAAGTGCACTGAAGAGACGAATAGGTTTTTCTCTGAATTTCACCAAGGAACCAGGTAGAAGGTGACTGAGACTGTTGTAGAGCTGAAATATGAAAAACAGTAGAGTAAAATATATTTTGTACTGCAAAAGAATTCCCAACTCTTTGGAGGTGCTCTTGACAATTGCAGAAATGTGATGTTTACAGAATAAAATTAAGTAACAGTATAGAAGAATGTAATATATTGAGGTTAGAGATAAAAATTCTTGGAGTAAAATTTGTAGTCTGCAAGTGTTTGTGATAGGAAAAAAAAATAAGTTTCAGTAGAATTGAATTTGGCCAATTTACAATTTACTGTATTAAAATTAAAAATAAGAAAATAAGACTGCACTATGAATTTGGTGAGAGCTGCAGAAGATGGCTAATGAGTGAAGTATGAAGACAGTGCAAAGTGGAGTCATTAGCATATGAATGGATAGCATTAACTGTACTGTGAAAACCTTTAATAAATAATAATAAAATAAGGTAGGAAGGGTATCATGCAAAACCATCTACAACAACAGAGACTGATATTGTACAGGACACTGGAGAGAAAATTCAAAATTAGTTTGCAGAAAGATGGTAGAAAGTCAAAAACTTCTGAAATATTACAATGCTGTGGCAAAAGATTAACACAAAATCTCAAGGCAATGTTAATCAAACATGAAGGAATTATGAGAGGTCACAAGTAAAATGGGCCCCAAAGAATTCATGCTAGTTATAATTATCAAATTACCTCAAGAACAGATTAGGATCACAGATGTGAAGTCAAAAGGATAGTAGAAATATTGAGATGTTACCTTCAGAACAGGCTGAACTACAGTGTGTGCTACCAATGAGAGAAAAAAAATGAGGATAGCAATCAAAACAGACAAACATCACTCTAGATGCAAATTCTGAAGCCCGCTTCTTAGCATGTGAGGAGCAACACCATCTGGACAGCACAACAGCTGGTTTAGACGTTATAATAGTATACTGTTCTGAACATTTTAGCCAAAATTATTTTCTCTGGAATGTATCCCAACTTATATAAGTGAAATCTGTGGGAAAAAAACATGACTTGTGTTATGAAAAATTCCTATATTAACTTAATTTTGGAGAGAAGAGTAAGGCATAAGTAAACACAAGGGATATATTTTCCATTAAGAGTGAATCTAAGACATGGATGTAGATGTGGAAGATTAATGTGTTTATAGACTGGAATGACAGTGAAGGAATTTCTTCATTTTTGGGGTTGCCCTATCTCAGCAGGAGAGTTAGTATGTTAAGCAAAAAAAAAAGATGGGTTGTAAAGGAGGTGAAAGCTAGAGTGATAAAGAGTTTTGTCTTAGAGGATAAAAAATCTTCTATAAAGTGAGAAATATCACAATTGGTGTTTCCTGATAACAGTGCTATTAAAATAGTTAGAAAGACTATGGAAGCTGGTGTGCTTTAAACAAAAAATTCAGTTAAGAACGAGGGGAAGAGAAAAATGTAGAAGCATAATGAATGAGAAACTGGTGGTGAGACTGGAAGAAGCATGAAGGTAGTGAATGTACATACTTGGGTGTGGATGTATCAGCAGATGGGTCTATGAAGGATGAGGTAAATCACAGAATAGATGAGGGAAAGAAAGTTGCAGGAGTGTTGAGGAATCTGTGGAAAGAAAAGAGTTTATCAATTTAAACCAAAAAAAAAAAAAAAGGGAAATATGAAAGAGTGCAGTGAAATTCAGTTTTTCACATGTTTATTTGTATGTTGTGATAAGTCACTCTAGGATCCTATTGGTTTATCTGTATATTTAATGGATGTCTGTGGTTCTTTCATATATTCCTGTCCAGAGGGATGCAAGGTGGGAATATAAACTTATGAAAGAAAAATCATTCTAATTCATATACAAATGTTAATGGTGTATAGCTGTATTTCACTGTATTGAAACTGGATTGTTTTCTCAAATATTGTATGAGAAAAGCACAATAAATAAGGGGGAAGAGGGTATTATACTCTCTTATGTGCAGACTGTGAAACCAATGGTGGTGGTGGTGACGGGTGCTAAAATGAAGGGTTGTAACAGTTGAGGGGGACGACCACATGTGGGTTATGACAGTCAAGGGGCTGCATGTTGGCAAGCTAGAAAAAGTTCAAAATAGGTCTCCAAGCTACTAAAAAGAAAAGAAAAAAAAAAGGGGGATAAGAATTAAGGGGTGTTGATATGTTGCAGTTTTTTAACTGCAGTGTAGGCACACCTCTGGCAAAACAGTTATGGAGTGAATGATGATGAAAGTGTTTCTCCCACCCTAGGTGGGAGACAGTTGTGTTAAAAAAAAAAATCCTCCTGGCAGACAGAGTTAAAGAGAAGACATAACCTCTATATGCAACAACATAAAAAGAGTAGGAAACAAAGATTATCTAAGATCAAGAAGCCTTAGTATTTACAAACTAGAGGAGAAGAGACACTGAAAGAATACTAGAAAATTCTTCACAAAGTGGCAGAACAATGCAATGATATACAAGAGGTAGCAAGTACCGCAACCACTGGAAGAAAAAAAAATATTACACTAAATACCGACAATGAGACACTATAAGTTTAGCTCTACACCTTGAGCTATAAATGGACAAAAAAACTAAGTTTATTGACTACTGTGGACGAGTGTTTTCTTCCTTGGATCACCTGGCCTTGATGGGATATAGCCAATGAGTTAAAAAAATGGACCATATTCTCTATACTATTTTTTCATGTAACAAAATAATTATTACACCATTTTAATAACATTGCTCTTTTAAGCAAAGAGTCAACTTGAAAAGGCCTTCTCTAAATACAGTCCAAAAAACAGTGACAAATTTTAAATAAAATAAACATGTTAACATTGGTTTGGGATATTGGCAGTTTGGAGGGATATGTTGTGTATCTTTATATGTGTATGCTTCTAAACTGTTGTATTCTGAACACCTCTGCAAAAACAGTGATAATGTGTGAGTGTGGTGAAAGTGTTGAATGATGATGAAAGTATTTCCTTTTTGGGGATTTTCTTTCTTTTTTGGGTCACCCTGCCTCGGTGGGAGACGGCCGACTTGTTGAAAAAAACAAAAAATGTTAACATTATAAAGAATATCCCTAAAGTACCTAGGTAGTAGGTTGGTAGACAGCAACTGCCTAGGGAGGTACTACCGTCCTGCCAAGTGAGTGTAAAACGAAAGCCTGTAATTGTTTTACATTATGGTAGGATTCCTGGTGTCTTTTGTCTGTCTCATAAACATGCAAGATTTCAGGTATGTCTTGCTACTTCTACTTACACTTAGGTCACACTACACATACATATACAAGCATATATATACACACCCCTCTGGGTTTTCTTCTATTTTCTTTCTAGTTCTTGTTCTTGTTTATTTCCTCTTATCTCCACGGGGAAGTGGAACAGAATTCTTCCTCCGTAAGCCATGCGTGTTGTAAGAGGCGACTAAAATGCCGGGAGCAAGGGGCTAGTAACTCCTTCTCCCGTATAAGTTACTAAATTTAAAAAGAGAAACTTTTGTTTTTCTTTATGGGCCACCCTGCCTCGGTGGGATACGGCCGGTGTGTTGAAAGAAAGAAAGATTCCTAAAGTAATAATGCCGCAAGACACACATTGTACAAGCAAGAAAATGCATGTATTAACTATACTGAATTTGTATATGCAGAGCATTCTCCTTCATGCATACTTACATTAACTGGAATACCTTCTTCACTGAGTTGCACAATTTCCTTAATTTGTTTGAGGAAGAGACAGATCTGGTCCTTTGGCACAAGTGGAAGGAAGTTGATGATGTCACCATAGCAACACATTTTATCCCCATACCCCTGAATATACAGATGAAGGATTTCTACAAGATCACCTGCAAATGTAAAATGCTTATCTAATGCTTGTACTCTTCTCTGTTACTGAAAATGATATAATTTCCTGCATCCAAAGTTGCTTAACAAAAGCAGACTTCACAAATTACTTAAACAATAGTATCAACTGACCAGCCTTTCAACATTCCTAAAACATGTGGTCAGTATTTTCTTTATATGTATACAAATAATTAAGCTTCATACAATTAAATAAATATCTCTATCTCTAATTAAATTCTTAATGTCCTTTTACCACTGGAGAAATTTAAAGACAGATTTTTGCAATACCCTTTATAAAAACTATGACAGGAAAAGACTTACCACATAATTCACCAACACGGTCACTCATCCCATGTTGATGTAGCACTAATGCTAACTGTAGTAAACCTAAAAAAGGCCCTCTATGTTTTGTCTTTTCTACAATTGCTTTCTGTTTCATACTTCCGAGAAATGTAGAGGCTGTCACAAGAGGGTCTTCTTCACCTCTGTCCGTTTCTGTTAATTTCATCATTGCTCGTATATATTCTACGTAGTGTTGCCAGTTTTCAGGCCTGAAAAAGAAAACATGTTTAATAATTTCCATTTTTTAATTATATTTTCATTAACATTGCAAATATAAATTGGTCATCATTTTACTACTTATACTGAACCCCTGAACACAGTTATTTTATTTCAGGCAAAATAAATGCAACTCATATTAGTATAAATTTTAATAGAGAAGATTAAAGTTAAATAGTTTGGGACATTATATATATATATTTTTTTTAACATGCTGGTCATCTCCCACCAAGGCAGAGTGACCTGAAAAAGAGACACTTTCACCATCATTCACACTACTACTCTCTTGCCAGAGGCATGCAGATACAACACTTTAGATGTCCCACCAAACAGCAAATACTCCAAACCCCTCCTTTAGGGTGCAGGCACTATATTTCCCACCTCCAGGACTCGAGTCCTGAACCGTGATGTCAGTGCACTTATGACAAGACAGTGATTGAGTGAATGGTGGTGAAAGCTTCTCTCCTTTTCCAGGTAACCCTTGCCTTGGTGGGAGACACCTATTGCATTTAAAAAATTATAGCAAAAACCTAAAATATTATTAAATGTGATTCAAGATATTCTTTGCAGCAAGTGTAGCTGTCATCTATTAAATAAAATGTTTCATAAGATATCTGACTGTTCATAGTTTACAGTGTACACACAAAAAATGAAGATATAAGATGAAAGGAAATACAGCCTCTTCTCACTTAGCTACGTACTCATTTACCGACGCCTTGGACTTATGACGGGCTCTCTGACCAGTATGCATACCTAAATAATGTATATTAGAGCTGATTTCCTCTATTCTGTTTATTACAATATACAGTACACTACTGTATAAACATTTAAAAATATACCAGAAATGTTATAAATGGTGCAAACGTTACATTAAAATAATATCAAAGAAAGTTGAACACAAACCCACTACCATTATAGTATGCTCCTCACTTAGCGACAAATTCGTTTACCGATGTGGTCTTAGAAACAGATTGAGGAGAGGCTGTACATTAAACATACAAAACACAACCTTTATTTCAGTCCAACACTTACTCATCTTTAATGAGAGACTTATAAACAGAGGCTGCTGCTTCCCACTGGCAAAGTTTGGAGTGATAAGTGGCTCTTTTTAGCGCCAAGAAATTCTGTGGCTGGTGTACCACCTTCTCGGCGAGAGGCCCGTCCAGAACTGCCAATGCCTCAGCATATTTACCCTATAAATAGATCAGTTCACTTGTGCATAACTATTTATTATGTATCTCTGACATCATGTTACCCCAAGGAGCTCCCTTTTAAAAAATATGGTAGGGAGGGCTAACAGAGATAAGTCATTTTTACAACCTATTTAAAACATGATCTATGAATCTATTGTATCATACACAAGTTTTCATGCATCCTGCTGCACATGTAATCCTTTCTAAAATGTTTGTTGTATATCACTCTGTATTTCAGTGTTGTATAGCATCAATGACTTATCTCTCAAAACTTTATGATTAATACAGTTAACTTGAAAATTGCATTTGTATATTTGCCTTACAAGCCTAACATTATTAATAGCTTCTAAACCATCTAATGTATACCATTACTTTATAAAACTAAACCTGTATTACAGTAAAAAATAGAGATACGATCTCTAAGTTAACAAAGAAGTAACAAAAGTATTAACCCTTAAATGGTCCAAATAGATCGATGCTCAAATCTGTAGTGCTCCAAAAGTAGATCTATGTTTTTTTTTTACATATTTTCAAATATAAAAAAAAAAAAAAATTGTAGATAAATTTTTTTTTACACATTTTCAAATGTAAAAAAAAAAAAAGATGATGTACATTTTTTTACATACTTTCGAACGTTGAAAAAACGTATATATACGTTTGGACCGTTTAAGGGTTAAACAATAGAGAAGCATTAAATTTCACTTTACATTTATTACATTTAGTTTTTAGTAACCCTTTCACTGTCGGTGTCATATTTGTACGGGTTACAAGCCAGTGTTGGTGCCATATTAATTTGCCAAAATTCTAGTGGTTTCAAATTTAGCGGGAGAAAGCCAGTAGATCTACATGTGAGAGAATGGGTCTGTGTGGTCAGTGTGCACAGTATAAAAAAAATCCTGCAGCATGCAGTGCATAATTAGAAAAAAAAAATCCAACCGTTTTTGGTTTAAAACACCGACTTTGAGGTGTATTTTCGTATGGTACTTATGGTTGTATTCTCGTTTTCTTGGTCTCATTCGACAGAATGGAAGATATATTACAGAAATAGAGATGATTTTGATTGATTTCATGATGAAAAGTACCTTGAAATTGAGCTCAAAGTAGCAGAAATGTTTGATTTTTGCTGATATTCAAGAGTAAACAAATGACGTCAGTGTCCAGTCTAATATGCAGTCACGAATGGGTTGACATTATTTATACTGTACAATTATTACAATAATGCAGTAGTCTGCATAATGGTAAATCTATTTTTTTGTGTGAATAAAAATTCAAAATAGAAAGCAAGAGTAATATAAGAGGGGCCTGGAGACGTGACTAATGAACAGAGAAAATGTTATTTTAGTGCCAGGAATGTCTGCATTGTTCATTCTGGACCCTATTTTGAAACTGGCAACTTTTGAAATTTGTGTGAAATTGGCCAAATTGCCAATTTCTGACTTTTATTGGGTAGTTGAATCAGTAAATGGGAGGTTTCTTGTACTCAATCGACAGAACAAATGGAGTCCTAGTGAAATAGCTATGAGTTTGGTCGATTGGTGCCTTATTATTATTATAATAAAAAAGAAGCACTAAACCACAGCGCTAGTTGACTGGTACAATGGAATTGGCCGAAAATTGCTCTCAAAGTGGGCGACATCACTGATGCGTATACATCGTCGAGACCGCTAACTTCGCAAGAGCGTAATTCCATAAGTTTTCCATCAAATTTCTTACTTTTGGTGTCATTACCAATGGAAAAAGATTCTCTATCATTTCATAAAAAATATATATTAAAACAAACACACACACACACACACAGAGTGGAACCTCAAATATCGAACTTAATCCGTTCCAGGAGGTAGTTCTAAATTCGAAAAGTCTGAAAAACGAAGCAATATTTCCCATAAGAAATAATGGAAACGAAATTAATCCATTCGAGAAACCCTAAAATATTCACAAAAAAAAAATACATTTTATAGAGATTAATTATAGTTTTACATACACACAACAAACATAGTGTTCAATTATGTATTAATAAATTTAAATAAACATATAAAATAACATTTTACTTACCTTTATTGAAGATTGGTGATGGCATCTGGAAGATGGGGAGGAGGAGAGAGGGAGTTGGGGTTAGTGTTTGGAAGGAGAATCTTCCTCCACGAGGACTTTAGGTATCAAAGCCCTCTCTGGGGTTACTTCCCTTCTGTCTTTTAATGCCATTAGGACCAGCTTGAGAGTCACTGGACCCCTGTCTCACAAAATAACTGTCCACAGTCCTCTGTTTCTGGTGCCTCTTTAACATTTCCCTAAAATGGGACATGGTTCTGTCACTGAACTTGTTGCAAAGATGGCTTGTTTCGGCTTGCTCAGGGTGGTACTTCTCCACAAACATTTGGACATCATTTCACTTCTGTATTATTTCCTTCTTCACATCTATGGTGTTTCTCACTTTCTTTACCACAGGGGTACCACTAGCAAGTTTCTTTGGGCCCATTGTAGCTTATTTCACAGTCCCACAAGCACTAAACACAATGAAATAATCGTAAAATGTTTGAATGAGAGCGCAGGTTAGTGTTCACTTAAGCATCAACAAAACCAGACTGGCTCATGGCGCCTGCATGGGGGCGCAGACAGAGCGGGCTGCCAGACAGGTCCGATACCCGGCGGTTCGAAAATAGGGGCGAGTTCGATAATAGGGACAAAATTGGTTCGATAAGCGATACTGAGAGCAAGTTTGTGAGCATGGGTCTCGACAGTGAAAGGGTTAAATTGGGAGGTAAAAGAATTCCAAAGTCAGTTATATGCATCAAGCCCCTTTAGTGTGGAAAGGCATAGGCAAATGAAAGCAGATTATATTACCTGTGTTTCTAAAATATGAAGAAAGGTCATCACTTCTGCCTCTGCTTCAATCTTACCATCTTTGACAAAATTGTTCACCATTCTCTCTGCTAATAAAAGGCTTACTTCTTTACCCTTTGGGTCACCTGACTTATGAGCCTGAAAGAGAAAATGCAAAATTTACATAAGCATTCATATACAGCATTATATATAGTACATTACACTGTATGCATTTGTTTTAACTCGTCAGCCAGTTCCTGCAGACATTGTGACCCAGGAAAGAAAAATTAATCACCAGCATTCACTCTTGCTGCCTTTCCAGAAAGGCACATGCATCATAATCCAGTGTTGAATCACCAAGCCACATTGTCCAGTGTCCACACTAAGTACTTTTGCCCTTATAGAAATATCAATGACTGTATAAAGAAATGGAGAAAAGCAGCTAATATAGACGAACTAAAGATGTATGGAAATATCAATGACTGAATAAAGAAATGGAGAAAAGCAGCAGATGAACTCAAGATGACATTATCCTAGCCCCAACGTTTTTCGTACATCTAGATTCTTCAGGAGTGTGGGTACCTCCTCTTCAGTTGCCACTGTTTGCTCTAGAATCCCTTGAGGTTGAAAATCCTCTTTAAATCTGGGTCCAGTTCTAATATTTAGAATCCTTTGCAGTTTCTCATTTATGAACAAATACCTATTCATTTTTTGACTGGTCAAGTGTCATTCACCAACATGCCCTTTTAACCATTCTCTTGTCTCAAACCATTAACTTTTGCATTTCTTCTACACTTAACACCTGGCTTTAATTTCTATTCCCTGCTTCATAACCCAGGGGCTGCCTATATTTTTTCTATTTCAGCATTTTGAACTGTAATGTGCCACATATAAGCCTCCTCTATGATTTGTAAGGCATCATTCCATCATACCAGGTGATGACAGTGATCACTGACTCTCATATGGACTCTACTCTAGAACCTGTTTCTGATACTCCTTGAGTGAATATTAAAACTATGTCTGACTAGTTCATTTTCTCATTCCCCCAATTTGAAAATCTTTTACATAATTGCTGAGAAAGTTGTGTTATGACATACAATATATAAATATATGATTTATTAGGTTTAAAACCATTCATCTACATCAAGGGTCAATAAGGCTGCATGTCACCATCAGTAAGTTAACTCTAAATTTAGTGTATCCATATTGAGATATGCACCCCTTCAAGTTGTTGCTCTCAGTAAATATATGTCATGAGTGACAAACTAATTAGAAAATGTAAAAAGTCAAACATACAGTAGTTTTCTAAATAGCCTCAACTCCATGGAGGGGTTTCTTGCTTTCCAGTCATTGTAATTGCAACTGATTATCATATTTAACCCTTTGACTGTCGCAACCCCCAATCCTGTGTCGCAAAATTAAAAAAAAAAAAAAAAAAATTATTTTTTTCTTATGAAATGATAGAGAATCTTTTCCCGATTGTAATGGCACCAAAACAACGAAATTTGATGGAAAACTGACGGAATTATGCTCTCTCGAAGTTAGCGACCTCGGCGATATTTACAAATCGGCGATTTCGCCCACTTTGAGCCCTATTTTCGGCTAATTCCATTGTTCCAGTCGACCAAACTCATAGCTATTTCTTTAGAACTCCATTTTTTCTATCGATTGAGTACAAGAAACTGCCCATTTACCAATTTCAACTACCCAATAATGTGGTCAGAAATTTGCAATTTGGCCAACTTCACGAAAATTAAAAAAATATGACAATTTCAAAATAAGGTCCAGAATGAACAATGCAGACATTCCTGGCTCTAAAATAACATTTTCTTTGTTCATCAGTCATGTCTCCAGGCCCCTCTGATATTACTCTTGCTTTCTATTTTGAATTTTTATTCAAACAAAAAATAGAAGACTTACTATTATGCAGACTACTGCAATACTGTAATAATTGTATAAATAACATCAACCCATTCATGACTGCATATTAGAATGGCTAGTTGGACATTTATTGGACAATGACATCATTTGTTTACTTTTGAACATTGGCAAAAATCAAACATTTTCCCTAATTTGAGCTCCATTTCCAGGTTCTTTTTATAGTAAAATCAATCAAAACCACCTCTACTTCTATAATATGTTTTCCATTCTATCAAATGAGACCAAGAAAACGAGAATACAACCATAAATACTATACGAAAATAAACCACAAAGTCGGCACCACACAGACCTATTCTCTCACATGTGGGCCTACCAGCTTTCTCCTGCTTGATTTGAAGCCGCTAGAATTTATGAGTATATATACGTCAAACACGGTACCTCGTAAGACGTATATATACGGCCGCGACAGTCAAAGGGTTAAGGGGAAGTGCTAAATTCATATAAGTAATATAGTGCCTGAGGAATGGGAGGTATAAGGTTTCATCCAAGGAAGGAGAGGGTAACTCAAATTAAGTTCCTCATAATTAATAGTTCTGTATACTTCCTCCAAGAAACCAGAACCCCTCATTTCATTTTCATGATGGCTTCATTGTAAATATCATTTTCTTTCCTTGGGCTCCTACCACTTGACAATGGGTACATACAAGACTCTCCTAACTGTATGCATTTACTATTATTTTTACAACTCCAATATAATTCTTTGATTAAACACACTGATTTAATTAGTCAATCCTACCAACCTGCATGACGTGGCTCATCACTGCCCAAAAGTAATACGGATTTTTGGGCTTCAATTTGTAAAGCTTCATAGCAGTCTGCTGCTGATTCTTGTAGTCCCCCACCCGAACATAAGCCATGAAGAGATGGGACAGCAGCTCCTCATTGCTTGGCTCTGTCTTAACAGCCATTTCATAAACTCTGCATATTTGGTCGGCTGTGTGTAAAATTGGGCACAAAAAGAAGAGTATAATATTAGTTATCTATGGAGGCAAAGAAGGGAATGTATGAAAGTATAGTAGTACCAACACTCTTATATGGGTGTGAAGCTTGGGTGGTAAATGCAGCAGCGAGGAGACGGTTGGAAGCAGTGGAGATGTCCTGTTTAAGGGCAATGTGTGGTGTAAATATTATGCAGAAAATTCGGAGTGTGGAAATTAGGAGAAGGTGTGGAGTTAATAAAAGTATTAGTCAGAGGGCAGAAGAGGGGTTGTTGAGGTGGTTTGGTCATTTAGAGAGAATGGATCAAAGTAGAATGACATGGAAAGCATATAAATCTATAGGGGAAGGAAGGCGGGGTAGGGGTCGTCCTCGAAAGGGTTGGAGAGAGGGGTAAAGGAGGTTTTGTGGGTAAGGGGCTTGGACTTCCAGCAAGCGTGCGTGAGCGTGTTAGATAGGAGTGAATGGAGACGAATGGTACTTGGGACCTGACGATCTGTTGGAGTGTGAGCAGGGTAATATTTACTGAAGGGATTCAGGGAAACCGGTTATTTTCATATAGTCGGACTTGAGTCCTGGAAATGGGAAGTACAATGCCTGCACTTTAAAGGAGGGGTTTGGGATATTGGCAGTTTGGAGGGATATGTTGTGTATCTTTATATGTGTATGCTTCTAGACTGTTGTATTCTGAGCACCTCTGCAAAAACAGTGATAATGTGCGAGTGTGGTGAAAGTGTTGAATGATGATGAAAGTATTTTCTTTTTGGGGATTTTCTTTCTTTTTTGGGTCACCCTGCCTCGGTGGGAGACGGCCGACTTGTTGAAAAAAAAAAAAAAAAATATTAGTAATTACAGAATGATATGGATGTTATAAAATATTATTATATTAAAAACATGTGCTAAACTTGTATCAGTCATATAGTGCTATTTTATAAAATAGATGCTTTAAGTGTTACAAAGCATGTATCAGAAAAAATACTGGAAAGTGATTACAGTGGACCCCCGCATAACGATTACCTCCGAATGCGACCAATTATGTAAGTGTAATTATGTAAGTGCGTTTGTACGTGTATGTTTGGGGGTCTGAAATGGACTAATCTACTTCACAATATTCCTTATGGGAACAAATTTGGTCAGTACTGGCACCTGAACATACTTCTGGAGTGAAAAAATATCGTTAACCGGGGGTCCACTGTATATGGTAGTAACAATGCCTCTAGGGAGTTGGCCTAGAAAGAAATTGATTGGAAAGTAATTTTTACTCTCAAAACCCTGTATTTTAGTCACTCCATGGCATAAACAGAGTCTATTAACCAATTTTTTTTTTTTTCAACAAGTCGGCCGTCTCCCACCGAGGCAGGGTGACCCAAAAAAAGAAAGAAAATCCCCAAAAAGAAAATACTTTCATCATCATTCAACACTTTCACCACACTCACACATTATCACTGTTTTTGCAGAGGTGCTCAGAACACAACAGTTTAGAAGCATATACGTATAAAGATACACAACATATCCCTCCAAACTGCCAATATCCCAAAACCCCTCCTTTAAAGTGCAGGCACTGTACTTCCCATTTCCAGGACTCAAGTCCGACTATATGAAAGACTGACTATACACAGAATTATTAATGAGTATAAAATCTAATGAAAACCAACAAGTGCATTTCCAAAACTACTGCTTCTAGCAGAACAAAAAGTAGTATATAACACACTATAGGGGCATTTTTGAGAATGGATGCCACCACCACCACCACTTCAATTTTGCTGAAATTTTGTTTAAGGATAGTTTTGGTTAAGAGTAAAATTTGCAAATTTTCAGCAATTTCTGACTCAAGTCATAAGTCAACACCTTTGTCATTAAGCAACTCATTGATCTCATATACAGTGGAACCTCAAATATAGAACTTTCTTCGGTCCAGAAGGCTGTTCAAGTGTGGCTACCGAACGAATTTATTCCCATCAGGAATAATGTAAATTAGATTAGTCCATTTCAGACCCTCAAAAATACACTTATAAAAGCACTTACAAAAATACACTTACATAATTGGTTGAGTTGGGAGCAGTTCGATTTTTGAGGTTCCACTGTATTTCAATGCATTATAAGGGCTAGGTACACACAGGTTCTTATGTAAGTAAACCCTCTTGTAATGCAACTTTGCATCAGTACTGTTATTCTACAGACTTCTGATCATCTTGATTCCAAATAAGTACACACTACTTTTATAGGGCTATGACCAACAGGAGGAAAAGATTAAAGGGTCAAAATATTGTGGCTGGTCAATAAGTGACCACTAAATAATCTTGGTCTTGATGTATGAGGTGGATTCTGCTAAACATTTGTAAATATTTTTTTGCCAAAAACTAACTCTAAACCATGTTTATATAAAATCATCTTGAATTACCCATGAGAAAGATGCTCCTATCATGATGTACACCCAACATAACACTACTACATGCCTAATTGATGATATCTGCAAAGTTAAAATGAAATCAACAAAACAACAGAAATGAAGTTTTTTTAAAAATGTTTCTTGCACTATAATATGGTGCGATATAAAACTGCCGAGAACAATGCCTTCATAATTTTATAATAATGCAATATCTGAAATGCTTATGTATGCTAGCGATTTTCTTTGTGCTTGACAATATTTTATTACATGTAAACTACTTATTGTACTGTACAAAGAAATAAAGGATTTTATTTGAATGAAGGAAATAATATTTGATTAATCAGTATGTACATATGTAAGTTTATTTAGGTACAGGTGCACATAAATATAGTTTCACAAATTATCATGCCATAGTAGTATGTATGTGTATACATGATGAACATCAAAATGGTATACAATACCTACCAACATGTGTGTACATACATGTTATATGTGTGAAACAGCAGCCTATTAAACATATTGCACTCTGTTAGGATTGCTAGTTTATTCTTTCCGTCTCATGAGTAGAAATTAAGAGGAGGTGTGGAGTTAATAAAAGTATTAGTCAGAGGGCTGAAGAGGGGTTGTTGAGGTGGTTTGGTCATTTAGAGAGAATGGATCAAAGTAGAATGACATGGAGAGCGTATAAATCTCTAGGGGAAGGAAGGCGGGGTAGGGGTCGTCCTTGAAAAGGTTGGAGGGAGGGGGTAAAGGAGGTTTTGTGGATGAGGGGCTTGGACTTCCAGCAAGCGTGCATGAGCGTGTTAGACAGGAGTGAATGGAGATGAATGGTATTTGGGACGTCATGAGCTGTTGAAGTGTGAGCAGGGTAATATTTAGTGAAGGGATTCAGGGAAACCGGTTATTTTTATATAGCCAGACTTGAGTCCTGGAAATGGGAAGTACAATGCCTGCACTTTAAAGGAGGGGTTCGGGATATTGGCAGTTTGGAGGGATATGTTGTGTTACTTTATACGTATATGCTTCTAAACTGTTGTATTCTGAGCACCTCTGCAAAAACAGTGATTATGTGTGAGTGAGGTGAAAGTGTTGAATGATGATGAAAGTATTTTCTTTTTGGGGATTTTCTTTCTTTTTGGATCACCCTGCCTCAGTGGGAGACGGCCGAATTGTTAAAAAAAAAAAATACAGTACATTAAAGTACTGAACACTGTTCAGGCGTCAGCCCCCTAGTATGTACTCAAAATTGCTACAAGCCCATTACTTACGCTGATGCATCTCCCGAAAACAAATTGTGAGAGCTTGGAGAGTAGCCTCATCTGTCGGTCCCTCTTTGATAACAGCAGAAATAATATTTTCACACTCATCTCGTCGGCTCATGCGTAGCAGTGCCAGACCCTTGAGTACACGAGCACAATGAAGGGTGGCCTGCTTTCTCAACACTTTGTCTGCCTCCTGCACAGCCTTTTTGTTGTTTCCTGTGTCCAGCCATTCTGTAACAGAATACATTCATATAAGCAAGATCTAGACATAGTTAATAATTTGTAAATCAACAACAGAAGACACTCAAAGCTTTGTCAATGTTAGCAGTATAGTTGGAGATGTATGAACAGCAGTGTTGTAGGAGCTCAAACAACAGTATTGCAAAAGTGATGGAAAAATACAAGCAGCAATGCAATAAAGCTAATAGGGTTCTTGGCTTCATATCAAGAAGAATAAATAATAGAAATCCTCAGGTTATACTTCAACTTTATATATCCATGGTAAGTCCTCATTCTTATTAAACTGTTTAGTTCTGGTCTCCATAGTACTGGAAAATATATAGAGAAGGATGATGAAATTGAACACGTTTATCAGAAATCTTTCATAAGATCTGTTGAAGACATTTATTTAACACTCACTTTCTGGAAAGACCAAATTAGGGATGATATATTTGAGTGCACAAATGGAAAACAGGAATAAATATAGAGAATATAAGTAAGTGTATAAATTAAGATTTAGAATGGATATAAGGGAGCACTGCTATGTCAACAGAGTTATAGATGAATGTAATAAACTCCCAGGTAGTGTCATATTATTACTATTATTACATTTATGGGGAGAGCTAAACCCGTTGATGGGTCATATAGCACCTGTGAGAATAGACAGTATTCAGACTCGATTCAAGGAATCTGAGCACAAATCCAATTCCTTGGATGAAGAGCTCCTCACCAGCACCAAGGAACTTTCCTAGAGAGGAGGTAAGTGAATTTATTCAGGTACAGGTACACATAAGTACAATTATCATACGTAGTAACACGTGTAAATTATCTAGGATAACCCAAAAGTCAGACGAAGTGACTTATTTCCATTGGGGTCCTTGAGGTAGCATCATGGAGGCGAGAACTTATGTAGCTTTAAATACAGGATGGAGGAATGGGTATGGGCTGGAGCTACCTAGCATGCAACATAAGTCTCAAGTGTTCCTTCATTTCTGTGTTCTTGTTAGAGAGAAGTATTGGAGGAGAAGTATTGGAGAAGTACTGGAGGAGAAGTATTGGAGGAGAAGTACTGGAGGAGAAGTACTGGAGGAGAAGTACTGGAGGAGAAGTACTGGAGGAGAAGTACTGGAGGAGAAGTACTGGAGGAGAAGTACTGGAGGAGAAGTACTGGAGGAGAAGTACTGGAGGAGAAGTACTGGAGGAGAAGTATTGGAGGAGAAGTACTGGAGGAGAAGTATTGGAGGAGAAGTACTGGAGGAGAAGTACTGGAGGAGAAGTACTGGAGGAGAAGTATTGGAGAAGTACTGGAGAAGTATTGGAGGAGAAGTACTGGAGGAGAAGTACTGGAGGAGAAGTATTGGAGGAGAGAGATATTGAAGGAGTGAGAGGTATCAGAGAGAAAAGTATTGGAGAGAGCACCACGACCTAGTGTTGGAGTAGGTAAGTTAATTTAGGCACAGTTATACATAAGTACATTTATCATACATAGTGTAAATTACCAAACATAACCTCAAAAATAGAAGGTCAGATAAAGTGACATGATTTCCATTGGGGTCCTGGGATTTCCATCGGTGGCCATCACCTCTGCCGGAACACCACCACCACACCACCATCTCCACCAACTCCCACCTACCCCACCACCTCCAACACACAATCACCAACACCGCAAATCAAACTGGCCTCAAATCTCACCGTAAATCGGCCGCAAACGTCTCTCAATGACAGAGTCGTCGACATGCGCCCGCCCGGCCATGGTTGCTGCTTGTGTTATGATGGAATGTTGAAGCTTACTTCATGGCCTCCCGCTAAGGCTTTGTGACTCAAGCTTCGCCACAGTCAAGGTGGAAGCTTGTTCAGTAATATTTTAGCTCAGAAACTGGCCTAAAATGCATCCAGGAGCTCTAAAATAAATAACAGCGGCGACTGATGCTCACTCGTTTGGGAAGCTGATACATCTTTACAATGTGATGAAAACAAACACTTTGGGTGTGTGTCTTTATTATTGTTTTATTAGGTTGCATCACACTTATCATCACTACGCTACTGCATCACACTTATCACCACTACAACACAACACTTATCACACTATAACACCACACTTATCACTACACTACTGCATCACACTTATCACCACTACAACACAACACTTATCACACTATAACACCACACTTATCACTACACTACTGCATCACACTTATCACCACTACAACACAACACTTATCACACTATAACACCACACTTATCACTACACTACTGCATCACACTTATCACCACTACAACACAACACTTATCACACTATAACACCACACTTATCACTACACTACTGCATCACACTTATCATCACTACACTACTGCATCACACTTGTGGAAAATTGCATTTATCTGAATGTAACTAATTATGTACATAACAGTAAATGATAACAAAGATAATTATTATTTATCAATGTTACATAGACAAGTAGGAATTTGGGACACCTAGGTCGCAAAAAATGTCCCCCTTCGATACCTACCACTGTCATAACCACAAGTTGCTCTGGACCTATTAATTAAATGAATTATACATCAGGAATTCTGGTAAATATATAAATTTGTGGACTGTATATTAAAAAATGATTATATATAAACACAATTACATAACAGAAGGAAAATATATCTAAATATCACTCACCAATTTGACTGGATATTAAGTTGTATCATACTCGGAAAAATCTCACTAACTAGATTTATGAAAACACTGGCCAGAATTATACACAAATCTAGAGAGCTTATCTGAGGTTCCTGGAGCTGTCTTGTCCAGTCGTCTGATATCTCAAGTTATGCAGGAATGCATATCCACCAATTTCGCCTCCTATTTGAGAGGTGTCAGCACAATTTTAAACTCTAGAGCACGAAAAATTCCTCCCCATTCACCGTTTCTAATACAAATTCAAAACCAACATGGCGAGTCTCGTCTGCACCGACGCAGGCTTTCCGTTTTCTATGACATAAATATTATTAAATACAGTATGGCCATCTATTTACATATAAATACTGAATTTCTGGAAAATATATACAGTATTTTTCCCACTGCGGCTGGCCGGAGTTCGTTGCTAAACGATTCAAATTGCTCATTTAGCAATGGTGGAGGACCTGAGTAGTGGTCGTCAGTGGTCAGTCGTCAGTCGTCAGTGGTCAGTCGTCACGTGAGGTCACAGACCCTGAGCTGCTTTGGGGATTAGCGTGGACGGTTACAAAGCATGGCTTGCTTCTGCAGTGTTTTAAAAACTGAGGTTGGAGAGTTGAAGGAGGAGGTCTTGCTTCTCCAGGAGGAGATTAGGAGGCTGAAGGTCCACCTCAATGGGTCTGGGAGAGAGTGTGAGGTGGCTGGAGTTGTGGGGAATGAGACTTCTAGCAGTGAGGTGCAGTCTGTCTCTTGCTGTGAGGAGGCTGTAGTTGGGGAGGTAGCAACGGCTACCAGCAGTGAGGTGCAGCCCAGCACCTGCTACAAGTGGTGAGTGGTTCACAGTAATGGGAGGCGCATCAGAGTAAGGAAAGTTAAGAGTGAAGATCTGAAGGTAGGAAATCGCTTTCTGTTCCCCGGGGATGAATGTCTTCAGTGGCCAGTGAAGGTAAGGGTCTATCCCCCTGCTAATGAAGGTAAGCGATTTCTTGGGGTTTGGTACTCTCGGGTAAGATATATTGCCCGGTTTTTGTAATGGAATAAGAAAAATGAGGATAGAGTGTGTTTCCCCTGGAGCTGGTGTTGGGGACTTGTCAACAGGCTGGATAATATATGTCAGGTAAGGGAAAAAGCCCATTATCGTTAGTGTGTGGAAATATTTTGGGGAAGGGTAGGAGAGAAGAGCTGTAGATAAGTACAGGTCAGCTATAGTTTTTCATTAATTTAAAGGGGAGGGATCCCAATCATATGTAGATCTTGCCTAAAAGGGGGTAGGAAATGAATGGTTTCTAGGGCATTGGTGTAAATTGTGGTTTTGGAAAATTTAGCAAGGAATTTCAATCCCATTCATTGACAACTGGACAATTTTTATGGCAAAAATGTATGTATGAAAGGGGATGGGGTATCTCTTGGGGCGGGGGGGTAGCACTTGCAGACGTTTAGAAGGCCATTGGTGAAAGCCTATGATTTTAAATGAGGGAAGATAGGGTATGGTGTGTGGGGGAAAAACAAGCGGGTTCCCCAACATGGGTTGGAAACGTAAGTATAAAAGGCATTCCATGAGTTATAAATAAAGACAAAGAACAGGTCAGCAAACCCAAAGGGGGACGCGAGGGCAGAAAGGGACTAGCTCCTTAGGTTTACTATACTAATAGAGGAGTGTTAGAAATAAGATAGATGAGTAAAAATTGCAGGCAGGAAACATAATATTTTGCTATAACAGAGACTGGCTCAATCTGTATAGAGAGATGCCCTCTGAATGTCACATACGGCTTAAAAATTTTTCCACACTGACGGGTAACAGGAAAGGTGGTGGAAATGCGATGTTGTCAGAGGGCAATTTAAATTGTTGTGTTAGAAAAAAAAATTAAATTTTGAAGGTCAGCCACTGAATTTGTTTTGGTTTCAGTTCTGAGGGGCCCAGAAAAACTAATTTTGGGGTTTGTTTTTAAGGGGCCCCAAATCTTGAAAAGGGAGTGCAGTAAATTTTTTGGGACGAAAACGTAGCATTACATACGAAAATGTTGTGCTAATGGGAGATTTAACTATAGCAGATTTACTGGGGCAATTTTTACAGGAAATTTAGAGTCGGGTGCTTTCTTGATCGTCCCGGATTGTTTTTTAAAAATTTGTGACAGAGCCAATAGGGGAAATAAAATCCTTGACTTGGTTTTTTGCCGTAGGGAAAAACTAATTAAAAATCGGGTTAATGAGAGCTTGGGGAGGGTGTCACAAATCACTAGTTTTAAAATATCATGGAAATTCCCCAATAAAGGCAATCAAGTCTCCGTCCCCGACTTTCGCTTGGCTGATTTCATAGGACTGAAAAATTACTTAGGTGGGCTGAACGGGAATGACCTGACTAAGGTCAGGTAGGTGGTGATGGTTGCCGATATGATGCTTTCCAGGGCATAGTTCTAGTGCTCAGTCAAATTATGTTCCAAATAGGGAAATCAGATCAAACAAAATGATCCTAAATGGATGAACAATAGATTAAAATATCTGATTGGTCAAAAGAGAGGCATATATAGGCAAATCAAAAGAGGAGAGGGGGCAATTAAGAAATGTATATTCAGTTAAAGAGAGAAATAAAAAAGGGAATTAGAAAAGCAAAAAGAGATTATGAGGTTAAAGTTGCAAGAGAATCGAAGACTAACCCAAAAGGATTCTTTCAGGTATACAGAAGTAAGATCAGGGACAAGATAGGCCCACTCAAAAGTTCTCGGGTCAGCTCACTGACAGTGATAAGGAAATGTGTAGAATTTTTTAACACATACTTCCTCTCAGTTTTTACACAGGAGGATACCAGCGATATTCCAGTAATGATAAATTATGTAGAACAGGACGATAATAAACTGTGCACTATTAGGGTCACAAGTGACATGGTCCTTAGGCAAATAGATAAATATTAAAACCTAACAAATCCCCAGGCCCCGATGAACTGTATGCAAGGGTTCTAAAGGAATGTAAAAAGGAGCTTAGCACACCTTTGGCTAATCTTTTCAACATATCACTACAAACTGGCATGGTGCCAGATAAGTGGAAAATGGCAAATGTGATACCTATTTTCAAAACAGGTGACAGGTCCTTAGCTTCGAACTATAGACCAATAAGCCTAACTCCATAGTGGGAAAATTTATGGAATCAATAATTGCCGAGGCAGTTCGTAGCCACCTTGAAAAGCATAAATTAATCAACGAATCTCAGCATGGTTTTACAAAGGGGCGTTCCTGCCTTACGAATTTATTAACTTTTTTCACTAAGGTATTTGAGGAGGTAGATCATGGTAATGAATATGATATTGTGTATATGGACTTCAGTAAGGCTTTTGACAGGGTCCCACATCAGAGACTATTGAGGAAAATTAAAGCACATGGAATAGGAGGAGAAATTTTTTCCTGGATAGAGGCATGGTTGACAAATAGGCAGCAGAGAGTTTGCATAAATGGGGAGAAATCAGAGTGGGGTTAGCGTCACGAGCGGTGTTCCACAGGGGTCAGTGTTGGGCCCCCTGCTGTTCACAATCTACATAAACGACATAGATGAGGGCATAAAGAGCGACATCGGCAAGTTTGCCGATGACACCAAAATAGGCCGTCGAATTCATTCTGACGAGGACATTCGAGCACTCCAGGAAGATTTGAATAGACTGATGCAGTGGTCGGAGAAGTGGCAGATGCAGTTTAATATAGACAAATGCAAAGTTCTAAATGTTGGACAGGACAATAACCATGCCACATATAAACTAAATAATGTAGATCTTAATATTACGGATTGCGAAAAAGATTTAGGAGTTCTGGTTAGCAGTAATCTGAAACCAAGACAACAGTGCATAAGTGTTCGCAATAAAGCTAATAGAATCCTTGGCTTCATATCAAGAAGCATAAATAATAGGAGTCCTCAGGTTGTTCTTCAACTCTATACATCCTTGGTTAGGCCTCATTTAGATTATGCTGCACAGTTTTGGTCACCGTATTACAGAATGGATATAAATTCTCTGGAAATGTACAAAGGAGGATGACAAAGATGATCCCATGTATCAGAAACCTTCCCTATGAGGATAGACTAAGGGCCCCGAAACTGCACTCTCTAGAAAGACGTAGAATTAGGGGGGATATGATTGAGGTGTATAAGTGGAAGACAGGAATAAATAAAGGGGATGTAAATAGTGTGCTGAAAATATCTAGCCTAGACAGGACTCGCAGCAATGGTTTTCGTGGAAAAATACAGATTCAGGAGGATATAGAAAGTA